AGATCTGGTTTATTGTTTATTTTATAGCTGGTTAAAGAAACAAGGTACTTATTTTACTTTCACTCTGCTTAGGAATAATAAATCACCCCATTGTTAAGAGGATTCTCATTTACCTCGTACCTCGTAAATGTATGAATAATCATTTAAGCAGAGGGAATTAGAATGCGATAAGGAGAAGGTAAGGTTGCTGATCAGGACCCGCCGTGTTAGGCTGGCTTTATCCTGGCCCAAGCCTAGTGGCCTTGCCTGGAGTGCACCCCCCCCCCCCATGGCGAGTGTCCGCCATGGAATAAAGTAAATCATTTATTTTTTTAATAGAAAATACTACTTTCCTCTCATATTGATTGTTTTGTTTATTTATTTATTTTTCGCAAATTTATTTAGAGTACAAACAAGAATATATTTTTTAGTTAAAGGAGTTCCCCATTACTCTGGACGCATAAAATGGGGTGGCGCTCACTCACCAATATTTCTTTGGTTTTTAATATATTTTTTTTTTTACCCCTCCACTCTTACCCCCCACTCCCGACGAGATACCGGGATAAATTTTGCTTTGACCCGAAACAACTTTTGGGTGTAACAATGTGTTTGAGGAGTTTCGTTATTTTCCCATCTTCAGTGTGTCCTTGTTACTCTGTGAAATAAAGTCTCTTCTGTATAAAGAGAAAAAGGACCTACAAATAGAAACATCGGTCGGAAAAATACCTATTGGACTATATTCTCCTATGGGTATACAAAAATAACGTTCTCACACACCCCACCAAATTTATTTGTATTCCTAACCAAAAATCTTTTAAACAATCATCACACATTTTAGACATCAACCTAACGATTTTGTTGTTATTTAAATTGTATTTTTCTAGCCATGCAAATATTATTTTCTATTCACGAAACAACTACATTTCTATCTATCTTACAATGTATTATCGTCAAGTTCAACATAAAACAATGTAACTTACAATCAACACAAACTAGCAGACTTTAACATTTATTTTCGTTGTATGGTTTGTTTCGAATCTTTCGGATATTGTAAAATACCTCGATCCAGTAATAAATGAAATTTTGTAAACTTTAACGATTTTTCATAATTTATCAACATGATTGATTTCGTTGCATTTTTGACAAGCCTTATCAAAGGCTGTCGATATAGTTTACTCTGTTAAAACTAAGTTTTAAAAATACTAACTATGCATTAAATGATAATATTACGTTAGTCTACTTATGAAATATTGATATTTTGTCTTCATAAAAAACCAAACTAGATTGATGTTAGCAAAAAATTGTAGCTTAATGTTTTAAATGTGGCTGAAATTGCTATAACGAATGGTTCTTTTCTTAGTGATTTCCTTTTAAATTAAAACAGTACATTTCGTAAAAAGAATTCCACCCTTGGTCTAAATGATGTTTGTTCAAATGACTTTCCTTCCTAATTGTCCCCAGTAGTTATTTCTAAATTGCCCTGAAATAAATAGCCTAAAAGTCGCCATTGTTCCAGCTTTCCGTGGGTGATACTTTAGCGTTTGAAGTCAATTACTGAGACAATGGAATTTGCCGCGAGCTTAGGTCGTAATGAGCGGGCCAGTTAATCAATATTGAGGCTCGACAAGTCCTGAATGGGTTGTTATTTATTGCTCTGCCCAGTTTCCGCAATTCTTTGCAATTCTATTCCCACTATTGTTTTCAAACGTCCCATTTAACCGTCACGACCGACTAAAGGAATCATGTATAATTTTACATTCGTTCTCTTTTGTTAGTCAGTTCAAAATGAAATAGAACGCGTCATGTGTTTCGGCTCAGAAACATTTAACTACCAAATTTTAATTTACTGCTTTCACTTTCAAAACAGTAGTGATAATTTAAGCCAAGTTGAGTTATTATGAAAACAGTAAAAAACAATTGGTAAAATGTGTGATGATTAGTGACCGTTAATCGATATTTATTTAGAAATCGTGAGATGCGGTCTGGTGTGATGTAGGTTTCAGAAAAATATTTTCTTTCGAACGTTTCGATCTTTATTGAGATCATCTTCAGGGCCTGGGATTTACAAACATTGTTTACATATTACAATTATATTTTGGATGTTGAAAAGTGAATTTATACAATGCAAAATATATTTTATATATTCCATCAAAGTATTTCTACTCACTCAAAGTGTTTCTGTTCTGTGTAATTGTGCCATTCTTGCGTGCCGTGTCGAGAGTGCCAGTGAGATTTTGCTATTTTGTGTCTATATACGTTGGATTTTGAAGGGGTGGGGAAGGATGTCGGTATAGAAAAGACATTTTTGTAATTAGTAATCCCATCCAAAATGTAATTGTTATATGTAAACAATGTTTGTAAATCCCAGGCCCAGAAGATGATCTCAATAAAGATCGAAACTTTGGCACGATAAAGAAAATGTTTTTCTGAAATCTACATCACCTCAGACCGCATCTCACGATTTCTAAATAAAAATTGGTAAAGTCCCGAAACCCGCTCGTGACACTGAATTTTTATCTCCACTAAAAACCTTAACTAATTGAAATATATTAATTGGTCAAGCGGACCACTAAAACTAGTGAATTTAATAAGTAAAAATGAAATGTATCTTCGTGAAAGCTCTCCGTGGCCATTTCATTTGTCGCCGAGAATCAAATAGATTACACGACATTTGAAAAATGGCAAAAAGGAGGGAAAATTCAAAAAAGGTGGGGCTTGAGATAAGAAGTTGGTGCCCGAGTGGATGGAGGTCACGATAGCTCAAGTGGTAGAGCAGCGGCGTATCTAGCCAAGATCGTGGGTTCGAATCCCGCTCATGACATTGAATTTTTATCTCAACTAAAAACCTTAATTAATTGAAATATATTAATTGTTCAAGCGGACCACTAAAACTAGTGAATGTATAAAATATTGTATTCAGTGTGTTTGCAGTTCAAATAAGCTTTCAATGTTGGTTTGATCACAAAAAAAGAAAAAAAAATAGCTCAGGAAAAAAAAGATTTTTTCTAGACTCAATTGACGGAAAGCTTAATTCTTGAGTCTAAATTGTTGAATATAAGTTTTCGCAGTCTGAGGAGGTACTCAAAACTTTTGGTAGACAGAAAACGACGAAATTGTGGTTCTATTTTCACTGTTTTACCTATAGCTCGCAAACAAAGTATCCTATCGAACGTTATTAGCACCACAATGAAAAAGCCATACATTTAGCGTAGAATGAGTACAATAAATATGAAATCCGAGTAAGAAATATTGGCGTAATGGACTGTTAAATATTGGCAATATTTACCAATTTGAAAGAAATTTTAACTAGTTGACTTTTTACATATCGATCTCCAAAACTTCTCATCCAAACAAAACTATTCATAACATAAAGTAAACAATGCACCTCTGCATCGAAGTTATAAATTTCCAAATTTCATCAATTGTAAGTGTATATACGATCAATCTAAAATTTCCAGCGTAAAGGATGTTCACCTGATCGCACAATCCGCATGTCTAAGTTTAATAAATAAATTTTATTCAGTATGAAGGTAGATAAAATTCACATGCATATAAATTGTACTTGCCTTTGAAAACTCTAAATTTAGTTAATACATTTTATGTAAAAGATGAGACCATTTAAAAAAAAATACTCATTTCATTCGTCGAGGTTTAGATAAATTTATCATCATTGTCAGGATTTTGAAATTTTATATAATCATTTAAAAGTTTTGCAAATATTTACGATTTTGAACTGTATTATATAAAAAAAATGTTGAAATTGTATTGCACAAGCTCGATCATGAGTACTGAACTCTATTAAAAAAAGAGGAAGAAAATAAATTTTAGTCTCGTGTTTTATGCCGAAAAGTTCTATCACAGATAAATTCTATTGTTAGACTTCTAAAATATTGGCATCAGAAAAAAATATCGTGGGATGGAAGTGATTAAAGAAAACTATTTTAATCTTCAAAATTCTAAAGGGAATTTACAGGGATGGGAACGTAAGTGTCAGAAAACTATACAACAAATTTAAAAAAAAAAAAATTCTATCGTAATTATAATTGGAACACACCACTCTGCATAATTGAACAGAATCGGCCATACCCGTCTGAACTGACTCTCTAGTTTGTAGAGAAAGTATGTTCGGTGTATGTCACATCTGGTCCAAGAGTGCCATACCTTGGCTCATTACAAGGTATAGGCATGACCTCTGGCATAAAAATCGTGGCGGCCGATAAAATCATGTGGCCAAATTGTTGCTTTCCCTGTTCAATTTCCTGAGGTAAACTGAGGTGTTTCTGCACATATAGAAGTATATATGAATTATTATGTGTATGTAATAAAAACTTCACTTTTTCTAGCTGTTTTTCTGACCTTAAATCAGTAATTTTGGAGATTTTATCATAACATCGGAATTATATCCTAAAGTAATAATGGAGTACCAAAAAATTGCATATTTTATAACTGGTAAAATTTGAGTTATCCACGTATCGAGTAACATCTTGACAAAACTAGCGACAAGGATTAATTTTACATAATTATTTTATATATTACCTTACTATTTGATGCAGAAGGATATGAATATTTTTAAAATCTAACCCAAAAAATCGAACGTATAGAAGGTTAAAATGACCTGTACGAACCGTTAAGTTTATGCGTCTTTGAATGTGTTTCTGAGGGTTATTTTTATATATTTCATGTAAACCTACTTACAAACAATTATAACTTTATTAATTTTCAACTTATTGTTACAGGTGATAACGGCGATTACCTAAATCTTGGCCTACGCGAAGGAGGCGTTGTTCTGAACATGAACCTAGGGAATGGTAAACTGGACCTGCAAATCAAACCGAAAAGGGTGAGATTCGACGACAACCAGTGGCACAAGCTGACCGTCCACAGAAGGGTACAAGAGGTCAGTCTTTTTTTTCAGCTTTAATTTTGATCAGTGTTGAAGGAACTTGAACCGAATGAAAAATCTCAACTCTCTTGTTGACATTTTGTTATAGAACTGTGAGCACACAAATTACGAGCGGCCCGTAAATTGGCAAGCGCAGCAAAATTCTAAAACAAATAAATAGAAAAATAATAAATATGTAAAGATTCTAAGAAAAACATTTTCTTGTCTTTTAGTCATACACAATAGCTTAAGAATAATAAAATACCGTTGGAAATATGCGAAATAATAAAAAAGGAAAAGAACTTGACATTCGGCGGTAAATATAGGTTACTTACAAGTAAATAGCGGTAGGAATATCTCGTGTAAGGGTTGAGGTTCTCGACCTAATAACTGCCTTCAGCTGGCAAAGAGCGATCTACGATCACGATAACGTTGACTGCCGCTGTTTCAGAGAATATTTATCGCTATCTACATTTATCAGTTAAGTTCGCTCGTAAAAAAAATCCAAGAAGAATAAAAAGGCCTATTTGAAACTTAAAAAAAAATATTGCAAAAAGTATTTAAGCAAAAAGAATAACTTTTTCAATTCTTTTACGCCACAGGAGCGTCATTTAACCCTTTGGGATATTTAAACAATCACTTTAATAAATAATCAAAATATTTCCAATTTGCCCAAAAATTTCGTCTTTCTTTCTCGAATAACGAAAATAAAAAGTTTTATAAACTCAGTATTGCTGCTATATCAGCAGTTCGATCACTACAGATAATCTCCGTCTAATCTCGCATGTTCTTGGTCAGACACGATAGCAATTTTATGTAGTACTTCATAAAAGTGAAAAATCATTGTAATTAATCGTGCGTATCATTCGGCAAAGTGGAGGGAAAACATAAATCAATGTCATTATTCGGAAATCGTGAGATGCGGTCTGGTGTGACGTAGGTTTCAGAAAAACATTTTCTTTATCGTGCCTACGTTTCGATCTTTATCGGGATCACCTTCAGGGCTCAGTGTTTGTTTTCTGCGTAATTGTGCCATTCTTGCGTGTCGTGTTGAGACTGCCAATTGTCAACTGAAGATGATCTCAATAAAGATCGAAACGTTGGCACGATAAACAAAATGTTTTTCTGAAACCTTCGTCGCACCAGACCGCATCTCACGATTTCCGCATAATTGTAGACTAACGGTCACTAATCACCACACATAAATCAATATAACGATTAAATGCAAGAAAAATTTTTTACCTGTATCATACAATTAATATAATAATATATATGAGTAATTTATTACCACATAGTTTATTTAAACCAGTAATTAATTATATTAAATAATTCCCAAGTTTAAGTTAGATGCTCTAATCGGGCATAGATAAAATAAAGTTAAATTGAAAAAATTCGCAATTCACGTTGTTATTAGATTCGTTGAGGGCAGAGATGATGTGAAATGTATTCATAGAGCTTTGCTTCTTATTTTTTAACAAATTGTATCATAAAATAGTACAATTGTGAAAGGACAAATAAAGAAAAAACGTTCGTAAGATATTACAATACACAGTACAGTCTCGTTTATTTGAAAATGAATATGCTTTAACCAAATTGTACTTTCAACGAGTTTTTGCAAACTGGGTATATGTAATTTAATATATTATTTTCCAGACTCGCTTTTCTTTGTTTAAATGGTATATTCTTTTTTAAATTTAACACTTTTTCTTTATTTTTTCATATCCTCATTTATTCACACCGCGTTTCACACACGCATACTCACGCTCTCTCTCTCTCTCTCACTCTCTCTCTTTTTCTCACTCTCACTCTCACTCTCTCTCTCTCTCTCTCTCTCTCTTTATCTATCTATCTATCTACCTATCTCTCTCTCTCTCTCTCCCTCTCTCTCTCTCTCTATCTCTATCTCTCCCTATCTCTCTCTCTCTCTCTCTCTCTCTCTCTCTCTCTCTCTCTCTCTCTCTCTCTCTTTCTCTCTCTCTTTATCTCTCTCTCTATCTATATCTCTTTCTCTCTCTATCTATCTCTATCTCTCCCTATCTCTCTCTCTCTCTCTCTCTCTCTCTCTCTCTCTCTCTCTTTCTCTCTCTNTTGTTTTCCTCTCTATCACCCTCTCTCCTTCTCACTAATTGGTTAATCAATTTAAAGTCACGTGTAACTCTCAGAAAATAATTGTAGAAGTTGTTTTTTTATTGGTATTTGCATGCGTAATTACATAGCCTCTTGTAAATTTATAAACCAAAAATTTTTACATTGGGATTATTTAGTAAAATTGAATAAAATTTTGTTTGGCTTGCATTCTATTTGTACAATTAATTGTAAAATATAAAGGAGTCTGCATAAATTGTAAGTAAAATGTAAATTGTACGACTCACATTAGGTGGAAAAAAGGTCCACGAGACCTATCTTTGCGTGGTTAAATAGAACGTTTAAAAAATCACTCAATCACTTTACGTCTAAACATCTATCTAGTTTGTCATACTACCCGCCTCGTTTTAACAAAAATTGAATTAAAATTAAATTGAAAAAAAAAATTAAAATTGATTTTGTTTAAATTATGCAAATAAGGTTATGATGAATAAATTTATTGGCAAAGCGAATGCCGTTTCCCGCCTGAACGAAAATTATCAATAGCAATATTTATAAATATTTACTGTGGAACATCCAATCGTAGAAATTTCGGGAAAATTATTTTGTCCGCTGATTAGCAATATCTTCGTATTAGAAGGGTTTACACGTAGACGAATTATTGGTACATAAATTGAAAATAAAAAATGAATTGTATTCGAACGAATAAACGTACGTACGTGAGACTAGTTACCAGGAATCGCCAAAGTCGTTTAAAAGTGTAGTTAAGGGTGTGTGAGATTTCTCGAAAAATTACTGATTGCTAGTAAGAACCACCCGTCCTTGTGGTATTCTTAGTTGTTTTTCTTTCTTCATTCCGCTTTTAAACGTTTTCCATTGGAAAATCTATAAACGAAGGTAGGCCGACTTTAAAGAAACTAAATTCAAAAATATAAGCTATTGTCAGATTTACTACCGCCAATAAACGTTTTCAATTCTACATTTGACAGACGTTTCGGAAAGGAGGCATGGAACGTCTAGGGACCACTTGATTCTTCCGAGCTGAGTCAGTGGAACGGCCTAACAGTTAATGACGTCTCGCGACGTTAGATTTACAGCCGGAGATTAACAGGGCCACGTGGAAAATGGGCTGGGGAAGGGCCTGGGAGGTCATTCGTAGCGATTTACCTCCACCCCCAGTAATCCAAGAAGCTAAGTGTGAATTGTAGTTGCCCCGGTTCGATTGATACAGGTTGGCTACAAGCCGCGCTAACTTGGCATTAAAACTTATTCAGCGATTCAACACCAATTCATTTCTATAAAATGTTTTTTCATGTTAAAAATATTTAAGTAATATTATTATGTTTTTTCTTCCAAGTTATCTTATTGTTAACATCACAAATTGTTTTAACGATTTTCAATTAAAAACGCAATAATTACAGATATCATCACCAACATTCTTGTTTTATCTGTTTTTCATAAATAAATTTGTCTATAATGATGTTTAAACAAAGTATAATTATTAAAGCGACAGTGTTTAATCACGCTATCCACAAAACATTTACTAAGAGTGTTCTGGCCCATTAAGTGGACTGTAATTCAATGTTAAATTCTCGATAACAAATAACGATTTATTAACTCACCTTCTTTGATGACTGAGTCCCGTCCTGCTTCTGATCCTCCCTCGAAACTGTAAAGAAGGGTGTAGATGAAAAATGGATGGAACGGTAGGACAACCCAGATGGGAAACCCTCATCTGGTTCCTCGAGCGATGAACAGAAGACACCGGCTGACTCCGACGCCGCCGAAGTCTCATCTTGACAAGAATCGACTCCGACGCCGCCGAAGTCTCATCTTGACAAGAATCCACCAACAAAACATAAAACGTATTCCTTCGATTTGGCTATCTTGTCCGGCGTTTTTAAAAAACTTAACCGTTCCTCTCACAACGTTCTCACACGAAATACTCTAATACCGGGCAACACCTCCGGGTCGCAACTCTCGCGGGAAAATTTAAACGTGGGCGCGAACAATGGCGCATAACATAAAAAAACCCGTTTCGTTTCAAAATATCTTATACATTTAAAGTGGTATAAAACATTCGAACAATGTTATGATGAGGTTTATTAAAGAAATTAAGGTTATTTGAATATAAGTTTGACTTCTGATATACTGTATTTATTAGCGTGAGAGGCACTATTTATCAGTCAATCAACCTATCTATCTATTTCCCTCTCTAGATCTCTAGATCTCTCCTTCTCCTTCTCTCTCTCTCTCACTCTCTCTCTCTCTCACTCTCTCTCTCACTCTCTCTCTCTCACTCTCTCTCTCACTCTCTCTCTCTTTCTCTCTATCTATCTATCTATCTCTAGACCTCTCCTTCTCCTTCTCTNTCTCTCTCTCTCTCTCTCTCTCTCTCTCTCTCTCTCTCTCTCTCTCTCTCTCTCCCCTCGTTTGGTAAAGGTGTTTATGGGTGGATCCGCATGAAACGGAGGAACCGAACAAAAAGTTGGAAGAAACAACCGGGAGTTATAAGAAGCGGAGGATACGACAGCGAGGTAAGCGTCTAGTGGCCGGCTGGCGAGGACAGGGAAGGAACGGCAGGACAGGCCCTAGGGACTGACGCAAAAAGTGAAAAATATTGCAGTTTCCTGAAGTTCGGCGAATTTCTCCTGGTTATAAAGGACTCAGCAGGATCTCGAGGGAGCGTACCCCGCAGGAGGGATAAATAGAAAGACGCTGAGATACTCGAGGGACACATCGCTGGAACTCGTCGGAGGGACCAAGCTTGATTTTTTCTTTTGATCATACAAAAGTATTTTGTTTAATTCTGTAAATTTTACTGTAGTGTTGGCCAAAGAATTGTATTTTTTTTTTTCGTTTTGTAAACAAGTGTACCTTTTTTATTTTATCTTTGCAAAACAGTTTGCATAATTTTATTTCATCTTATTCATAAAGCCTTTTAATTTTCCTTATAGAGAGCTCAATTTGTATTGTTTTGAAAAACGTAACTATACCACAGAAAGTACTGTGGCGCGCGAATTATTTATTATTATTTTACTCTTTTAATTTATTTTTTTTTATAAATCGAACCCAGGACACACTCTCCACTTACCGTCAAGGATCCATAACTAACTTTGGACTGTTATCACCGAAACCATGCTGGGCGTTGGTAAAACATTTTTCACAAGTTATGAGAGACTAAGAGTGAATATTCAGAAATAAGCGCTGGAATGAATAGAGAATTCCTCTCATACTGCATGAGTTATAGAACAGTTGAAATCCTGCCAAACAAAACAACGAATAGTTATTTTCAGAATATAAAAACGTGGTTTTTTTACGATTTAAAAGTAAAATTATTTATAGATTTAACGATTTTGCTAATTCCTAACGGTTTTGTATAAGTAGAACCAAAACTCAAATAGTAAAATATTGATGTAAATATATATATACAAATTTATACTTTCACCAAAAGTAAATTAAAATGAGTGGCTACTCAGAATGAGTGCCTCTCCCTACGGAATGGAACACTTAGGGGTTCTTCGCTCGTTAATGTTAGGTAATTTTCTTTTCTTTCTAAGGTTTAAAAAAGGCCGTATAATTCTATGTGTTAGTATTCTACAACAAGTAAACCTTTGTGCAAATATTGTATTTTTCAAGCAGACTAAAAATTTGAAGATTTCTATAAATATTTTTATAAACATAACTTTTCAAACGAGGTTAAAATGATGGTGATTTTTCCTGAAAAAAACAGTGACTCGAAGCTAGATACCCAAGGCTCAATTATTCACACCATAACGTCATCGTTCAATTAAACATAAAATCTATTTATATTTAGTGGTCTAATTGACCGTATTAATTATTTCAATGAAATAGTCTTTTTATGGAAGGTCTTTGTTAAGATCATAAAGACAGTGTCACGAGCGGGATTCGAACTCACGACCTTGGGCTAAATACGACGCTGCTCTAACCACTTGAGCTACCATGATTTCGATCTACTCGGCCACCAACTCCCCATCTCAACCTGCAACCAGCCGAAGGACGTGGGTTCGAATCCCGCTCGTGACACGAACTTTTTGATCTCATCCGAGACCTTACATAAAAAGAATAATTAACTGAAATAATTATTATTTAATTAATTATTATTATTATTAATTATTATATATAAATAAATGGATTTTACCACAACAATTCTATGAATAGAACCATCATTTACAAAAAATTAATCTAGATACTCACCACACTTTTATCATTCCTAATAAAAAATTGTTTATTCAAGAATTTTTTATTTCACAATTTTTAAACTTTACACGAAATTTAACAGTTTAAATGGGACTAATGAGAAGTTTTTACTAAAAAATTAAACATTTTCATTGTCTAACTTAGTGTAGAATTTGGTTCATTTCAATCAAATAGACTTAAGAAAATTCAGGGAAGTAACCATACAATTTCATTGCGTTTTCATTTATACATCTTCTCCTAAGATACTTTTACTACAGTTAACTTAGTTAATATTTTCTTCTAATTGTTTGACATTGCTTAATTCAATATTATTAATTTTAATTTAACATTTTACATTTTGTTCATTTGTTTTTACCTTTTTATTAATTTATTATTCTAAATTTATTATAACGGACGTTGATCAGCAAAACTCTCTACCACATTTTCAACAAAATTAAAATTCATTAATTTCGAAACAAGAGGGAACAAACATAGTTCTGGTTGAATGAATTCATTTATTTATTTATATAGTAGAAATTGAAATGTTAGTAAAAATTATGACTAACGATAAAGTAAATTTCAATAAATGAGCTTAAATTGTTATTTATAGATTAAAAAATATTATTTTTGGTGTTATAATTTCGATGTCGGTTAAAGCAAAAACAAACATGTTCTCCGACCCGACGCAGAAGATTCTAATTTGATTTGATTTAAAAAGTTAAAAAAAACAAAATACCGTTTTTTCCAAATTGTAACTAATGGGCTGTAAGGAAAGTAGGTCAGAAAATGGTCAAAACTTGGATTAGACCTCATTGTCGCGATTCTAGCGTTATAAAACCCTAAGATACGAACTTTCACAATAATCGGTGAAAATTAATTTTTTGACTGATAATTTCGATTTTAATTCACTTACCTAGTGAAAGCACTAACATAATTTTTCTCAGAAATTAAGAAAACTGATTTTCATGTTTTACAATTCCTTTTAAACAAATTGCCAAATGCATTAAAAACGGACTATAATTTCAATTGAAAAAACAAGCAATTAATTAAGGTTTTAAGTTGAGATAAAAAAGTCAGTGTCACTAGCGGGATTCGAACCCATGACCTTCACGACCAAAGGATGGAAGATTCAAAAGGTGGGGTGGAGATGGGAAGTTGATGCCCGAGGGGATCGAAGTCACGATAGCTCAAGTGGTAGAGTAGCGGCGTATCAAGCCGAAGGTCGTGGGTTCGAATCCCGCTCGTGACACTGACTTTTTTATCTCAACTAAAAACCTTAAATATTTGAATGTTATTAATTGGTCAAGCGGACCACGAAAAATAGTGAATTTAAAAAACAAGGTTAATTTCTGGCAAAAAAAAATTATTTTATATATTTTGTTGTAGAAATCTTTCATATATTTTATGGTACATATGGCGGTAGAAAGCTACGTTCCTCATCTTTTAATTCGTCCGTTTGACGTAAAAATCCTTTTAGTCGTTTGTGAATTACAGTTTCAATCAGATATTCCAATAACGACCTCTTAAAAATCGGGAAAATTTTGGAGATCAAAAAAGTGAAAAATTTTAATTAAAAAAAAAACAAATATATATATATATATACANTCTCTAGAAGATGCAAAAACTCAAATTCATATTACTTTTACGGAAAATATTTGACCTATAAACTGATAGCTTTTTCTATATTTTATTGCAATCTATCGTACATACAAAATGCTGTAAAATGATATGTTTACAATCTTTGTTTGTGAAAATAGAACGGCGAAATAAAAATATTAAAAAACGGAAACTTGCAACTTTGAATACTTTCAATTAATTAAGGTTTTTAAGTTGAGATAAAAAGCCATTGTGACGAGCGGGATCCGAACCCACGACCTTCGGCTTGATACGCCGCTACTCTACCACTTGACCTATCGTGACTTCGATCCCCTCCGGCACTAACTTTCCCATCTCAACCCCACCTTTTGAATTTTCCCTCCTTTTTGCCATTTTTCAAATCATCCTGCTCGTGATACTGACTTTTTTTATGTCAACTTAAAAACCTTAATTAATTGAATGTTATTAATTGGTCAAGTGGACCACGAAAAATATTGAATTTATTTGAATACTTTTTTAATCAAACCAGGGCTTATTCGCAATAAGTACATGTCCGATATTTGGAGTGTAGAATCACGCGAAACGTACGGTCCAAATTCGTGACATACCAAACTGGTATTCCTCTTGTTAGAATCAAAAAGCGTGGCAGATGTTATTCAAATTATTCTGGAACGCGGCCAAGCTGAACTCAGAAATCACAAAAATAGATAAAAAGTAATAGAATCGGACGAATAAATCCAAAAAAAAGCAATCCTGTCAAAATATAAAAAAATGAGTTACAAGAAAAGTAGAAATTGCCATTCCGTCTGGGACTATATTTGATCAGGCAATTGGTTTGTGCCGGATTCGATCAGGCGGAGTGGGCAAGTAGACTGCACCACAAATCTAAATCAACAGCACTTTTTTCTCTCTTATTGGTGAAGTACAACGGTTCACTTGCCATACTTTATAACGGACAACTGTTCTTCAAGGGCCGAGTTTTTCTTCGCCCTCTTTCCTATCGCCTGTAATCACAGTTTGGATCAAAAATGTATCAAACCGTAAACTAATCTTTGCTTTTCCTTTCTGTTACAGATCTCGGCTGTAACAAGCTTTTGCAGGGTGAGTATTGACTTTATAAACCTAGAATTTTTTTTAGGTAGTAATAGTATATTTTGGTTGTGTATTGCAGTCCTGCAATTTATATTTTATATATTAGTAGTTGGCAATGTAAAAAAAAAATAAAATGACAAATAGTAGCACAAATGGGCCATGCAATTCGTATTTATTAAAATAATTACTATGAGTTCTCTCGGTCTGTGAGCTGAAGAAATTTGGTCGTTAACGATCATTTTGGTGTGCTTTTGTTTGAGTCTAAACTACCAATGGCACCGACAAACAATAACTCCTACACACGCCACCACTCACTGCCTTATTAAAAAGCCTTGACTTCAGAAAAATCACACAGACCCAACACTGAAGATGGCAAAATGCCAAAATTCTGCAGACAGACAAACGAGGATATGAAGAACAGAAAGTTCGATTACAATAAACTAGGAATACCTTTCAAAGTCGTTCTAGTCATGCAATATGACTTATCATAATGATTTAAAACATTCTTGGCATAGAGTCGAAAAAAGTTGTGATTTCAATAAAGCCAACTGGAAAACTAAAATCATCCCCTTAATAAAAAACAAAAAGTTTATTTTGCATGTACTTACTTTGGTCAATTAATATGGATATTGGTAAAAGGCCATGAAATTTTTTTTCGTGGATTATCAAACATTTCAGAAAATGACTTTAAATTGGCAAAAAATGCAAAAAGCCGTTGTTCAAAAAACTCCGAGAAGCAATTTCTACTCTGGAAAACTTTTTTCGATGCTCAAATTTATTTGATTCACCTCACTAATTGAGTTTCAAACTACGTCGGAGTAAACATTCAATCCGTTTCAAAACTCAACTTCTGGATGTTATTGTACTAATTTTATAACAGGGGATTCAACTTCCTCATAACCTTTTTAGATGTTGCAATAAATGAAATGATGGTTTACTTGAACTTACGTATTTTCCTCGAGTACTACAGCTAAAGTTGAACATAAAAAGTCTTGTTAAATATTGTTTGAGTAGAATTTCCAATAATTCTTGTTAGAAACTAGATTTGTTTTTTTGTTTAGCTTTCATTAGTAGTAGATGGAGTTTACGCCGAACATTCAAACACAGCCGGGACATTCACGATGCTCTCATCGTCCAAAGCTTACGTCGGCGGGACGGAAAACGTCCTGACCCTTATGGGCTCCAAAGTTCACAACAACTTCATAGGATGTCTGAGAAAGGTAAAAAAAATTTTTTTTAATACATCAAAACGGATAAAATTTTAATATTTAAACGTTACAGGTCGAATTTAACGCTGATACGCTTAAATTGAATCTCGTCGAGTTGGCAAGGACGGGAAGCAAACTGGTCGGAATCGCCGGCCAAGTGGACTTCATGTGCCAGGAAGTTGAAGCCGCCGACCCGATCACGTTTACAACCTCGGCTTCGCATCTGGTAAGTGCTGTTATCAACTATAGTCAAGTTTGACTCGACACAATATGGCCGAAACTACATACATTAAAACTTTACATATGCAGCTTTGAAACTTTTAAAGCTATAAAGAAATTACTCATTTTCCAACCAAGGATGAAGTTTTTTCATGGTAACGTTTCAAAACCAAACATTGAGTCGATAATGTTCAAAGTTACCAACTGTAATAAAATAATCAAATAATTTAATTCCGACATCATATTTACTTAAATAAACCATTCACGTAAAAACAAGTCTGTACTAAAATATATTAACTTAAACAAAGCCTATAAATATGTAAGCGCGTCTCTGTTTTGTGCCCAACCCTGAATTCGGAGAACCGAAAACAAGGTCCCAGAGGTTTTCTTATGATCGGACCTGACTACAATAATTTAATTTATTGATCAGGCACCTTTTTTTAATATACAAAATTCCAATATTCAATTCAAACCAAACTAAATACGAGACCAAAATATTAATTAAATTTAAATCTTTTATTACCATTTATTTTCAAAAAGATTCTAATTTCTTTATTAATTATTATTTTTAATTTAAAGAATATTTTATTCTATAATAAAACCTATTTCAGAATCTACAAACATTAATTTTAAAATCGACGTTAATTCTCGTTTTATAAAGAAAAGTAAGAGTAAAGGAAATTACAATATTATTATTGTTATTATTATTAATTTTTGACCACCAATTAGAAAATACAATTAATATTTTAACATAACTTTTAAAATCAAATGTGATCACTTTTAGTTTTTTTTATAAAAATATATTTTTTAAATTAAAATACAATTATTATTTTTAGTTTTTTGACGTCAAAATATAAAATTTACTCACTTGAATTGTGTGCACACCAAATTTTCTTAATTACACATAAACAGCTCGTAACCCATGGAGGACAGAAAGGGTATTGTTGTTTTTTTACTCAAAAAATAGCCCTTTCCTAGCCCCTACTCCTTTCACTGTCAGATGTGTGTGGAGGGGCATGGCGGTACATTCAAATCGAAACGTGACAAATATAAACAAATACTTATATATTTTAAATTGATAGTAAAAATATGTAATAATAAATATAAACATAAAAATAAAATAATTGAAGATTACTTATGATATTTTTTGAGTGGTCTGCGGGTGATGAACCTGTATTTGATCGTTACCGATCATCCTCGTCCGCATAATCTCGCTCTCAGTCCCGTAACTATACCAGGATTTTTTTTACATCATTTTTTTACATAAAAGTAAAAGAATATTATTCTTTCCTAAAAAAATAGAATTCTGACATTTTTTCCGTAATCCTAGTACGCACTGAGATTCTTTGAATCGATTCATGTTGCGGGGCAGAGTCGTAGTAGCCTCGACAAAGAACTGTGTCCAGACCAAGATTCAGTTCACATTCATCAGTGCCTGCGAAAATGACGAGGGAACTAGCTCTCTCAGGAATTTCCCTTGCTCTTTTTTGCATTGTACGTAGTGAATCCAATCGGGTATGCATTAAAAAACGCCCACATTGACGGTGGGTTCGGCAAATATTTCACGGCGGGAATCAGCACGGGAAAAATCTTTTGGACACGTTGAGATTAAATGATGGCGAAGGGTTCAGAAATTTTTTGAGGATGTCCCCGACCGATTTTGAAACCATTTTAATGAAATTTGGCGGTCATTTCCAAGAAAGATACCAACTTTCGAGAATCTATCTGAGCTGCCTCTCTCCGGTTCTTAGCGAGTGGGGACTCGTATACAAGCCCATACAACGGAACTGTCCTTTTAAAGTGTGTACTTTTTTTCAATTTCCGAGACGGAAACACTGAATTTTTAGGCTAAGCCGTTCAATGTTTGGCATTTCAATTCCAGATTTCTGTATTCCGTGAATGATTCCACAAACACATGCATGTCTTCGATAAATTGTAATGTCAACTCGGTACTCCACAACATACCTTTTTACAAGACACTGTCAAAATCTTCAAGAAAACACTCACGACAACGTCAACTAAACAAATGAAGCAAGAACGCTTGTTCCGATTCACGTCCGCACTGGCAAATGTTGCGCAACATTGAGTCAAAGATTCCCACATCGGATGGGATTCAAAAGAGTCCGAAAATGATAGCCCGCAATACACCAGATTCATCGTAAAAATGATTCGGGGCAGCCCGGACTCAGGCTAGACGCAGCCGAGACTCTCCTGAGATTCAAAGAGTCGACTCAAAGAATCCCAGTGCGTACTAGGCCTAAAGACATCATACATAAATCATCACACGTGGCTCTTTTCCTTTTTATTTGTATAAATGTATGTATTTGCGCAAGTGTGGCTGAAAACTGATCGAAAAGGACTTTTTTTCCCTCTCCTTCAAAATCCAACATATATACACAAACAAAAATTTAAAATCTCACTAACACTCTCTACACGACACACAACATTGACACGACTACACAAAAAACACACACTTTGAGTACAAATACTTTGATTAAACCTAAAACTTCCTAAAATGTAATGTGTACATCGTTTTATAAATTCATTTATTCAAATATATGAAATTATATACACATAAATTATATATATACATAAATATACATAAATTAAAGGAATAAATTCATTTCTATAATATAAGCAATGTTTATAAATCCTAAGCCTTGGAGATAATCTCAATATAGATGGAAACCCATTATATTTAGTGGTCTATTGACCAAATTACTTCAATTAATTGATGTTTTTATGTAAGGTTTTGGTCAAAATGAAAAAGTTAGTGCCACGAGCGCGATTTGTACCCACGACCTTCTGCTAAATACGCCGCTGCTCTACTTGAGCTGTCGTGACTTCGACCACTCGGAGACCAACTCCCCATCTCAACCTACAACCTTAATTTTCCCTTCTTTTTGCCATTTTCAAATATCGTATAATCTTCGTTCGAATCCAGCTCGTGGCGCTAACTTTTTCATTTCGACCAGAACCTTACATAAATAGATGGAAACGGCACGACAAAGAAAATATTTTTCTAAACTACATCACACCAGACCGCATGTCACGATCTGTAAATAATCACTAATTAACGGTCACTAAATATTACACGTTTTAAATACTGGTTTTCTATTATTTGATTTCTTGTTCAACCAGTAAAATTAAGTTTTACTGTTGTTAAAAACGGTTCTGCAAATATTTCATAGTGTACTTTAAATTAACCACAAAGGAATGTTTATATGGTAGGGCCGCTTGTCCTGCTGGGGCTTGTTAATCCCGAGTAAATTAACTTGATTGAATAAACAATCGCTGAAACGTAAGTAACTGGGCGATGTTACCCCAACCGATGTTTGTTAATTCAGCGTCCACCGGTCGGAGGAATTGCCGTCATGGAGATGTTACCCCTAAGTGGATAAAAAGAAACTTGAAACTCCAGGAAAGATGAGAAAAGTGTGATTTTGAATAGATGATAGATGTTGGTTTTGGTGCGATTGATATAATTTGGATGATCGTTCAGGTATTTCTTTCTTTCAATAGGATCGATTTCAGTTTTGTTCCTATCAACTTTCTTCGACGAAAAAATCTATTTCATTTTTTTCAAGCTAATATAATGGCAGTTTGTCTCATTTACTTTACTTTCGAGTCTATACATATATTTTGGAACGAACAAAACACAAAGGTATGTCACTCAAAATTCAAAACAAAGTCGCTGTCACGCCCATTCCAACGAAAATTAAACACACTCAAGATATCAAACTTCTTCCCATATGGGAAACCCTTATAGCGGCTTCTTAAACTTTTCTCATATAAACAAGGAAGTGTAGAAAACATGATTGATGAGTATGCGCAGCCACCTGGTTCCACCTCGGGTAGAAATAACGACCAACATCAACTCTTTGATTTTTAATTAGTGCCGCCATCGAACATTAGTTAAATTATATTTGAACCAACTTCCGCCCTTTAAGGAACTTTTTAATTACGGGTTTGTTAAAAACGGATACTGACAAGAGCAGACATTTATTTTTTATTTTTAATCATATCCATCCAGTCTGTTCGTTTTATTAAAAACCAAAAAAACCAAAGATTTTATATTTAAATTATAATAATGCCTAATTTTTTAAACACACTTACAGTTGTACATAAATTTCAAATCACCCAATATTCACTGTCTCACTATGAAAAATATTTTTTGCATTGTAGGAATTCACGTTTTTCCACATCCTACATGCATTTGTTAAATGTAAACAATGTTTGTAAATCCCAGGCTCTGAAGAGGATCTCAATAAAGATCGAAACGTTGGCACGATAAAGAAAATGTTTTTCTGAAACCTACGTCACACCAGACCGCATCTCACGATTTCCGAATAATCATCGACTAACTAATCACCACACATATAAAATAAGATTGTAATTACCGTAAACTAGAATACCTAAAACTAGACGTTTATAACTTTTTTAAGACCTTTTTTTCAACATCATAATATTTGAAGTCTTCTCACTCCATCTAACAATTTGATGTTACTGGGTATTAATTATTCTTTTTATCTCACGTCTTGGTTGAGATAAAAAAGTTGGTGCCCGAGTGGATCGAAGTCATGCTAATTCAAGAGGTTAGAGCAGCTGCGTATTTAGTCGAAGGTCCGTGGGTTCGAATCTCGCTCGTGTCACTAACTTTTTGATCTTAACAAAAACCTCAGATAAAATAATAATTAATAGAAAGTATTGAGATATATTCGTATCGTACTTTTGGCTTCAGCTTCCTACCCACCGAATAAATTTGGTAGTAATAGTTTAGATAAAAAGTTTAGATTTTAAAAAAACCAGAGTCACGTGGACTTTTATTTTTCGGTCTAGTTCTATTTAAACCCCACAAACGATCATGCAGAATTACAATGGTCTACTGAAGAGATTTAAAAACTATCTGTTTAGCAAATTAGAGGTAGCAATGAATCCAGCTTTAACACTTTTTTTTTAAAATATCTGTTTGTATGGTCGAAGTGAGCCCTTTTTTTCCCCAATGGA